CCCTGTGGCACCCCACTGGAAAACTCCCTCCATTCAGATGAAATGCCATTGACAACTACTCTCTGAGTGCGGTTCCCCAACCAGTTCCCTATCCACCTAACTATTCAAGAGTCTAGTCCACAGTCCTCTAGTTTACCCATCAGAACATCATGTGGAACCCTGTCAAAAACTTTACTCAAATCAAGGCAAACAACATCAATGGCATTCCTTTGATCCAGTAAGCTCATCACTTGATCAAAGAAGGAAATTAGGTTGGTCTGGCAGGACCTGTTTGGGAACAAATCTGTGCTGACTTCCCCAGATCACCAAGTTGTCCTTTAGATGCTCGCTGATTGATCCCTTTAAAATTTGCTCCAGTATCTTCCCTGGGACAGAGGTCAGATTGATTGACCTGTAGTTTTCTGGGTCATCTCGCCTCCCTTTTTTGAAAATCGGGATAATATCTGCCCTCCTCCCGTCTTGTGGCACATCTCCCATCCTCCAAGAGGTCTGGAAGATGATGGACAAAGGCTTTGCAAGCTCTCCAGAAAGTTCTCTGAGCACTCTTGGATGCATACCATCTGTCCCTGGGGATTTGTACTCATTTAATGCATCCAGGTGCTTCTCAATTATTTCTCTGTCCATGTCAGTAAGTAGCCCAGATGCCGTGCCTTGCCTACTACCATCTCTAGCCTGTTCTCTTCTTCAGGGAAAAAACTGAAGCAAAATACGCATCAAAACTTTCTGCTTTCTCTCTATCCTCTGTCAAAGTTTCTCCATTTCCACCCAACAGTGGGCCCCTCGCCACTTCTATCTTGCATTTGCTCCTCACATATCTGAAGGTTTTCTTGCTGTAGCAAGCCTCCCTGGCCAGCTTTAGCTCACTGTGAGCTTTGGCCTCTTTGATGGCTGACCTACAGTGCCTAGCTAACCGCAGATACTCTTCTTTAGAGGTATGTCCTTGCCTCCCTTCCTTGAACATTTCCTTTTTCTCCCTTAGCACATCACGAAGTTCTCTGATCATCCACATTGGCTTCTTAGATTCCCTACCATGTTTCCTTCTTATTGGAATAGCAATGGCTTGAGCTTGCATAAGCTCATGTTTTAGGAAATCTTACCCTTCACTTGTTCCTTTCACTTCTAGCCCATGGAATGATTCTCATCATACCTCTGAGTTTATTAAAGTCTGCTGGCACCACCAACGTAGCCAGTGGTTCACTTCCATCATCATCTCCTCCCGTCGTATTCCCCTTCCCATTTGTTGTGTTATCATTGATCTTATGTTGTTGTTCAATTATTTCATTGAGCTGTAAGCTGTCTCCAGCAGTTCTGTGGAGAACTTCTTAATATTTACCATTTTTATCTTTGTACTTGTTTTAATAGATGTACATTTCTGACCTATCCATTTCAAAATCTGTATATTTAAAAAAAAAAACATTATATTTGTCTTCTGTGAATATTTTTAACTGATTAAGAGACTGGTGATTTCGTGTTCTTGAAACTTGTTGCCTTGTTCGTTATATTGAGCCCAAAGACAGAAAAGGACAGGTAATGCCATAAATGTATAATTTCTATTTTTTTTTTTAAATCTCACCTTGATGCATAGGATTTATGGAATCTAAAGGAGTACACATTGTCGTGGATATGAATGAGATATACATGACGCTGACATAATTTTTTTCCTTTCCAGATGCAGATCGTTGCATCAAGTGCCCAGAAGATCAGCATCCCAACCTGGACCACACTCAATGCATTCCCAAAGTTATTACTTTCCTTTCATATGAGGAGACTTTGGGGATTACCCTCATTGTTTTGGTCCTGCTCTTTTCCATAGTCACACTTCTAATTCTAGGAATCTTCATTAAATATACTGACACACCAATAGTCAAAGCCAACAACCGAGACCTCACCTACATTCTTCTCATCTCACTCCTGCTTTCCTTTCTGTCCTCCCTTCTATTCATCGGCCAGCCAAGGAGGGTGACCTGCCTTCTCCGACAAACCACCTTCGAAACCATATTCTCAGTTGCTGTCTCTTCTGTGTTGGCTAAAACAATCACTGTGGTTGTGGCCTTCATGGCTGCCAAGCCAGGAAGCGAGATGAAAAAATGGCTGGGGAAGAGTCTGGCAAAGTCCATTGTCCTTTTGTGTTCCACTGTTCAGATTGGCCTCTGCCTCATCTGGCTGGGCATCTCTCCCCCCTTCCCAGAGTTTGACCTGCACTCCCATCATGGACAGATCATATGGCAATGCAATGAAGGGTCTGTGGCTATGTTTTATGGTGCCCTGGGCTACATGGGCTTCCTGGCTGCCATCTCCTTCACGGTGGCTTTCCTGGCCAGGAAGCTTCCTGGGGCCTTCAACGAAGCCAAGCTGATCACCTTCAGCATGCTGGTCTTCTGCAGTGTTTGGGTGTCCTTTGTGCCCACCTACCTGAGCACCAAGGGGAAATACATGGTAGCTGTGCAGGTCTTCTCCATCCTGGCCTCCAGTGCTGGCTTGCTGGGCTGCATCTTCATCCCCAAATGTTACATCATTGTAGTGAGGCCTGGTCTGAATATCAAGGACCATCTCATGATGAAAAGTCAAGATGGAATTTGATTCTCAGTACAGTGTTTTTCATTTTGCAAATTTAATGCCTGTGTTTTCTGTGAACTCTTGCTTCACAATTGAACTCTCTGATCTGCTACTGAAGGAAATTTCCTTCACATACATCAAGACAGACACTAGTCACAAATCATGAAGGCAAATACTTAACAGCATAGCATAGTCTCTTTGTTTGTTGCAAAGCAAACACATTAGCCTAACCACTAAACTGCAGGACAGTACTGAAATGATTTTCTGTTATGACAGTGAATCAGTCCTCTGACTGAATAAAAGTTTATCCATTCCAGGTATCATATGAACACCTTGTACCCCAGCCAAAGATCACTCATGTTATGGTCTAAGTTTATTGACAATCAATCTGAGAATTCTTGAAATGATCGGATATTAAAGAATTACAAAGATATAAAAAATATTTCCCTGGACAACTGATATGAGAAACAGAAAATTCACCTCAAACCAAGAGGAAAAGTTCAAGTAGAGAGATGTTTTAGTTATTTAATTCTTATACTGAAAAGAAAAAATGAAATTTCTCAGATTCTTACCAAGGTGTTTTCAGAGAGACTAGAGAGTCTCAAACCACTCACAGATTCGGGGTGCCTTGGGAGTGACTACCTTCTATAGGCCCAGTTAAGTGGAACTCACATGACTTTCTCTGAACCATTTGATTGGTCTCCTCTGATGCTGTGATTTAAGTGCCTCTGAATTTAGAATGATAGAAAAATTGTATACAAACCTGTGCTCTGTCCTTTGTTAGATTTTGCTCTGGGTATGGATGGAACAGAAAGAGCCATAATGACCCAGCAAGGGACAAAATGTTGTTTGCAGAAATGGTCCAGGCCTGCTCTGCTCTGTTAGCACTTAGGGTCCGTGACATAGATACCGGCATTCCCAAGCAATCAAAGTAACATCTGCCAGGAAATGGCAATTCAGACGTAGATCAGGTCGTGGATTGCGTGACATGAAGTCCTTCAGCAATGGGGGATTGGTTGTCTTTTTTTAAACTGTGATTCCTGCTAACAATGGTGAAATGTGCTCCTTTCCCTCAGGCCAGGCTTTTGTGTATCTACAGCTTCATTAACATGAAATGCAGGCAACAAACATCCTCTATGTGAAGACCTCTCACAACAGATGATTGCAAATAGCTTTCCCTGCGCCTAGGGCATGTGTGTGCACAATCCATATAATGTATCAGCAGATATCAGTCCACAAACACAAATATTAGTCCATTTCTCAGCAGCGTGCTGGTCTTCTGTGGTGTTTGGGAATTTCCTAGAGGTGTTGCCAACTTGTGTTTGGGAATTCCCTAGAGGTTTGAATGCTGTTCCTGGCAATAGCAGAGTTTCAGAAGATATATCAGCAGGGATGTGATGTCCCATCCTGAAATGCCATAGCCAGGTCTAAACTCTTTCAGCTTCTCCCCAGCTTTACCAATTTCCTCCCACTAAAATCCAGTTTTTAATATTAGAATCATAGAATCACAGAGTTGGAAGGGGCCATCCAGTCCATTCCCCTGCTCAATGCAGGATCAGCCTACAGCATCCCTGACAAGTGTTTGTCCAGCCACTGCTTAAAGACTGCCAGTGAGGGGGAGCTCACCACCTCCCTAAGCAGTTGATTCCACTGTTGAACAACTCTGTAAAAAAGTTTTTCCTAATATCCAGCCTGTACCTTCCCACCCTTAATTTAAACCCATTATTGTGAGTCCTATCCTCTGCTGCCAAAAGGAACAGCTCCCTGCCCTCCCCTAAGTGACAGCCCTTCAAATCCTTCGTGTCCCCCCTCAATCGCCTCTTCTCCAGACTGAACATTCCCAAGTCCTTCAGCCTTTCCTCATAGGGTTTGGTCTCTAGACCCCAGATCATCCTCATCGCTCTCCTTGGCACCCACTCCATTCTGCCCACATCCTTTTTGATGTGAGGCCTCTAGAATGGCACATAATACTCCAGGTGTGGCTTGACCAATGCAGTCTACATCGGGACTACAGCAGCTTGCGATTTGGTTGTTATGCTTCTGTTGATACACCCCAAGATTGCATTAGTCTTTTTTGTTGCTGCATCACACTGGGTGGTCATATTTTACTTTCGGTCCACCTTTTATTTTATCTTTTATCTTAACCCTCAAAAAGTGTCTTCCTCACAGGAATGGGATTGGTTGGTTTTCCCATTGTTGGTGTGGCTGCCTATGAAGCATATCACCAAGAGAAGGGGATAGAAACTTGGGAGTTTAAAAAACCAGTACAGACACAAAGATATTCTACTGTCTATTTTTACAAGAAGACCCACCTCAGAGGTGAAAATGACTGCTGTGAGGACAGGGAAAGTGGCTGCCACAAAGACCAGAAAAATCTGAATTTTTCCAATCACAAATCAGCCATTCAGGCTTTGTAGCGAACTTTCCCAAAACTTCAATGCAAAATGTGTTATAGAAAGATTGTAGAAAATCTGGGGGAAACAAGTGCACAAAGGCACCACAACACAGTGGAGAAACAGGTAACTGCCACAAATAAACCACCCTGCATTGGACAAGGGGCAGATAACTAAGTGGAACACACCTCAACCTGAACAAAAAACCCTTCAGACTTCTCCATCTCTGTAAAAATGTTCTCCCTCTGTTCTCACCTACTTTGTAAAGATATATTTCTATTTATCTATTTAATACAATCCAAAATCTTTATATGGAGTGACACTGTGCCACCTCCCCCCCCCAAAAAAAAACAGGATCCCTATAACAGATGGTTATATAAGAAGAAGAGGAGGAGGAGGAGGAGGAGACTGGATTTATACCTTGCCCTTTATACAGTCTGAGAGCGGTTTACAATCTCCATCCCTTCCTCTCCCCACAACAGACACCCTGTGAGGTAAGTGGGGATGAGAGAGCTCTTTCAAGAGGGTCACTAGGGGAATGTGGTTGGGGCGGAGGTATTTGTGAATTTCCTGCACTGTGCAGGGGGTTAGACTAGATGACCCTTGGGATCCCTTCCAGCTCTATGTTACTAAGGCCCATTCAGATGTTGATCCTGAGTGTGGGGGGGAATAGAGAGATGCTGGCAGTATTGATTATTACAAACATGCTTCTTCACAGATATTTCCAGATATTTGTGCATTTCATAATAACAGCAATTTGGACTGCCTGCCCTTCAACGACAAGGATACTTCTGCATCTCAAGAGAAATTCTTAAAAGGGAAGGTAATAATGGGAATCATATGGCTGACAAACTGCTGTATAAGGAGAAGTGGTCGGATTTTGAGTTGAAATTAGGAAAAGGAGGGGGTGAATTGCTCTTGCTATTAGTAATAGGAATGAACTCAACATGGCCACATAGAACTTTTTAGGTGTGTTTAAAGAACAGGCGAAGTCAAATCATCTCTCTATCTCTCACCCACCCACCAAAGCATCCATTTTCCCCCAGGAGAACTGATTTTGGTATTTGGAAGATGAGGTGTAATTCCAGGGGATCCCCAGGTCACACCTGGAGGCTGGCATCCCTGTGACTCCTCCCCAAAATGCTGCCCTCCCCAGGCTCCACCCCACCAAATCTCCAGGTCTTTCCCAACCCAGAGCTGGAAACACAGTTTTCTTTCCTTTTCCGCTTGAGGCAGCCCCTCCCTTCTCCTCCACCCAGTTCAAGCTAGGGATGCCAGCCTCCAGGTGGGACCTGGGGCTCCCCAGGGATTACAGCTCATCGCCACGCTGCAGCGATCAGTTCCCCCAGAGAGAAGGGATGCTGTGGAGGATGGTCTCTGTGGCATCGCACCCCACTAGGCTCCATCCCCACAGCTCCAGGAGTTTCCCAGCCTGGATATGGCAACCCTACCCGCCCCCCAATCCCCCGCCAGCGGGGAGGGGCGCGACCTGGCAATCCTAGTTCAAGCATTTCCCCCCCTTTTGTGTTCTCCTGCCCATTCATGCCCAAGATCTCTTTTGTTTAAACTCGCCTTTCCCACTGACATGCAAAACCCAAAAATCTCCATCTCGTGAAAAGGAAAATCCCTCTTTGATTTCTTCAGATCACCCCACACCCCCCAAACAGAGGGAGGGTGTCAGCGTTCCAACCCACCTGTCTGAACTTTTTATGCCGCTCTGGGGAAAACACTCAGTCCCCACGCCTAGGTGGTCCTGGGTGGGCCGTTTTGGGGCTCGCAAGGGCACCTGGGAAGTGTAGTTCCCAGCAGGAGAACAAAGCCGACGCTGAAGATTTTTTGGCAAAAAGGCTTCCTTCTTCCCCGTCACTTTCTGTCTCTCTTCAGGATCGCTTCAGCTGGTCTGTCATGCAGGGAGAAAGCTGCCCCACGCATCGACAGAACAGGGAAGGGATTTTCTCTTCCCGAATACTTCAGCATTGCGTTATTCCGTGCGGTCCTGGTAGTAGCAACGGAACTACAGTTCCCAGAAAGCCGTGCCAGCATCGGAGAGGTCCACCCGGCTCGTTCTTGTCATCCACAAATTAGCAGGACTGTTTTTCCTAGAAAGCGAGAACGAAGGAAATTTTGGAAACATGGAATTTCACAGGAATTCTGCAGGAAAGGTGAGTGTATGATTTCCGAAAGAGATCTTGGGCGGGAGGAGGAGGGAGGGGAGAGAGAGCGTGTATGAACGGCACGAGAGAGAGACAGACAGACAAAGAGGGTGTGTTGAAAGGAATGACAGGATTTCCCGTTGCAAACAGTGGAAGAGGCTTGAAGGCTCATTGGAAACAATGGGATCCAGAAATGCCGATTGATTTGTATGGGCTCCTTTGAAACGAACAAATGAAGTTGCGTTACTCTGATTCAGATCCTTAGTCCATCGAGACCAATATTGTCTACTCAGACTGGTAGCAGCTCTCCAGGGTCTCGGATGGAGGTCTTTCACATCAACTCTTAACTGATGCTTTCAACTGGAGATGCTGGGGATTGAACCTGGGGCCTTCTGCATGCCAAGGAGATGCACTGCCACTGAGCCACAGCTCCCCCACCCCACCCCACCGGAATACACTGCAGCACAAAAAAGTTGCAATGAAAATGCAAAATGTGGCTTCAGTTGATGTCTCTGGGCCCCAATAGACTGCTGTGGGACTGGAGTGACAGGCCCCAGAATGGAATGATAGTCCCCAAGAATAGAATCAATGCTTTGGGACTGGAAAGAAAGTCCTCCAAGTGGAATGATTAGGAATAGAATCAGTGCTCTGGGACTGGAAAGAAAGTCCTGCAAGTGGAATGATGGCCCCTGGTGGTAACAGAAGTATTCTGGGATTGAAATGACAGACCCCCAAGTGGAATGACAGCCCCTGGGAGTAGAAGAAGTATTCTAGAGCTGGAATGACGCCCACCTCCCAGTGCAATGACAGCCCCAGGGAGAAGCAGAAATGTTTTGGGACTGGAATGCCAGGTCCCAGAGTGGAATAATGACTCCTGGGGTTAGAATCAGTGCTCTGCAATGTAATCACAGACCATAGAGCGGAATGAAATGCCTTACATTGTAATGAATTTTTCTTGAAAGTGTGTAGTTATTCCCCCATCAGCTCCGCCTCAGTTGGTTCTGTCTGTTCGTTGTTTTGGTGCAGAGTCATGATGTTGGTGCCAGCCACCTCCTCTGTTGGCAAGTCTAAATTTTGCCCCTCTTCCCCTTCCAGTTCCAATGTCCAGTTCTGCTTCCTTCCTATCAGGGCCCAGAGGCATTGCCTGAAAACCCATTCTGCATTTTCATTGCATTTTTTGGTGCTGTAATGTGTTCTAAAGGAACCCATGCAAGTCAATTGGTGTGCCTGGTTCCCATCATCTCCAATGGGCCTTCAAGCCTCTCCCATCGTTTGCAATGGGCAATCTTGTCATTCCTTTTAGTACATGCCAGACAAAGAGCTGGCTATGGGGGAAACTTGGGACACAAAGAGAGAGCTGTTTTCCTTCCTGGGCAAGACCTGTGCACACAGGTGACATCTGTTTTCACACACTTGAATGTGTTTTGTACGACCAGCCTGAGTTTATTCTTCTTACTAACGATAGGAATAATCCTCTTCCTCCTCCTTTAGTTCTTTCAATGTGACACCCAAACATTCATCTGAAGTAAGGAAGTCTTATGCAACATGTTTGTGGTTACCTTTCTCTTCCACAGTTTCTTTTCTTTCAAATCCCCAAACTGTGGAGATGATGCAGCAGCTGACTTGTAGTTCAAGAATCGTGTGTTGTACAAACTGCAGTCCCTCATGCGTCGGTATCTGGAAAGGTCCAGGAGGCCGTAGGTTTTTCCTGGATATTCTGTGCCCGGCCTGTCTCACCCATCTTGGGTAAGAACATGAGAACATGAGAGGAGCCATGTTGGATCAGGCCAGTGGCCCATCCAGCCCAACACACTGTGTCACACCGTGGCCAAAACCCAGGTGCCACCTGGAGATCCACCAGTGGAGACTTTAGGTTTGTTAGAACAAAAGACATGGTGACCTTAACTGGGCCAGCTTTAGAGTAACACAGAACACTTCTGCACACAAAAATGTTGAAAGCAGAAACTTTCTGTACAGATACAATTTCGTGTTATTTCTTAGGTGAAATGTGCAATAGAGTATAGTAGATACTTGTACAGGCAATAGTTTCTCTTTTTTTCTTACATTTCATTGGACTCGAGTTTTAAGTGAATTTGACTAACAGATGTTGCCCAGAATGGTCTATTAATTAATTATTGGGGAAATTGGCTTAGCAAGAGGGGGCAACAGTGAGAGTGCCAGTTTTTATGTGCGCCAGTTTTTATGGGGAGGGTGTCTGTTGTGGGGAGAGGAAGGGAAGGAGATTGTAAGCCGCTCTGAGATGCCGAGTGGAGGGCGGGGTATAAATCCAGCTCTTCTTCTTCTTCTAGATGACCAGGGTAGAAATGTGACCAGTGATGAAAGAACTTTATCCAAAATAAGGCTCTGTTTTCCTGAGAAACCCAGGGATGTAAAACATGCATCTTATCTTTAGAGCGGAGAAGATTGCTTTATAGCCAGCCCCATCTGGGCTACACTTCCAGATAGTTTCTTTCCCAGGCTGTGCCTGCCTTTCATTCCTAGTGGGGTCATTCCTAGGCCAGGCATATGAGATAGATTGGATCTCTATCTGGAGTGATTTTTATATGAAGGGTGTGTGGCATTAATTCCTTGTGGAAAACCAACTGCCCTTCTGTGGGGTGGCACTGACTGGTAACACAGAAGCCCAGTTCTGTGCAATTTTCAGAGTGTGTTTCTTGGTGACCTGCAGTATACTATAACTGTCAGAGACTGAAGAAAATGAATGCAATTGTTCTTGCTGCTGGTATGGTGTACCACATTCTTTTAATGAAGTGGGTGGCCTACAGACTTCTTCCCTCTTCTTGAATGTGCAGGGGAGAAATAGATGATCAACTGGGCCATCTTTTCCTCTTTCAGAGACCCCCAGTGTCCTTTGAGGAGGTAGCTGTGTCCTTCACGCAGGAGGAATGGGCTCTGCTGGATCCAGGCCAACGAAAACTTTTCTGGGAAGTTGTACAGGAGAACTTCGAGACTGTGGGCTCACTTGGTAAGGACCTTTTTCCTTTCATTATGACCAAGGAAGAGAAGTGAGGGGGTGGCACCTTCCTTTGATCCCCTTTGATTCCAGAAGTTGTCTGAAAATTTGGGTTTCCCTTTTCAAGCGAGAAAATAGAGGTGAAGAAAGTCCAGGATCTCTTCAGCTGGTCCCTCCTGCAGTGGGCCATCACATGAAGCTGCCCTACACAGTGACAGATAAGAGAAAAAACCTTCTCAGATACTTCAGCTTTGTTATTCCATTTGGTTCTTAGATACTTCAGCTTTATTATTCCATTTGGAAGGGGAGCGGTGGCACAGTGGGTATATCCCACTGTCTTAACATCTGAACTGTGTTAGTTCGAGCCCCGCGCTGGTGTGAGCAGCCAGCCTGTTGTCCCCAGCTCATCGTCCACCCAGCGATTCGAAAGCTTTGGCGAGTAGATAAAATGGGAACCACACCTTAGAGAGGGTGGGCACACCAATCTCCCTTGTGGGAGGGTGTTAGCTGACGGTCGGGACGTCCTGGTCGAGGTTCGGAAAGGGTGGAAGAACTTCTCGGCTACAAAAATCCCTGCAGTGGATGTTTCTGGCCAGGCGGTGGCAGTGTGGTGATTTGACATACGGGTCCTGAAGCCTGGTTGACAAGCAGCCGTTTGGAAAATGACTGAGCCAAGCCAGAAGACGTTTACACCGTGCAGTGACGATGTGTGCAATTAAATGAATATATGTTGTCTTCCCTATCCCCTATGAACATTGTTAGCCCCCTGTCTAAAATGTGTAACTGTAAATCGCTTTGAACCCACTGGGGAAAGCGATTAATAAATTGAAAGTATTATTATTATTATTATTCTTGCAGGGAACTACAGTTCCCAGAAGGACTTGGGAGCACCAGAGTGGTCCACCATGTCTTTTCTAGGTGACCAGAGAGTGGTTTTTGCTGGAGAGAGAGGAGGAAACTTGGGGAACTTAGAATTCAGCAGGGACTCTCTTCTTCCTCATTCTGCCCAGCTGGAGGGAGAATTTGGTTTTTGCTTGTCCGCAGGAAAGGTGAGTTTTTAATTTCATAAACAGATAGGGCTGCCAAGTACCTACCTCAGTTTGGTGGGGGAGAGTTGTTTCCCGGCAGGATCAGTCCCGCATGTAGCTCACGCATGCGCCACAATGCTGTTGCCCAGATGTGACGTCAGCATGCTGGGCACATTGCCGGGCGACGCGTGCTGACGTCACGTCTGGGCGACAGCATTGTGGCACACGTGTGTACTACGTGCCGGAATGGTCCGGCTGGGAAACAAGTCTCCCCCGCCGAACTGAGGTAGGTACTTGGCAACCCTATAAACAGACCTTGGGCAAGAAGAGAGGAGGGGAGGGGATAGAAAAAACGTGTGGATGGAATGAATGACTCTTCGTTTTAAGAGAATTTGACCAACAGAAGTGCAGTTTTCTTGGAGACTTTCAGTATATCTGTCGGACTCCTGAACAACTGATTTTCTTGTTGTTGGTTTGATGTATTGTGCTCTTTTAATCAAATGACTGGTTGATGGGATTCTTCTTTCTTTCTTGAATACTCAGGCACAGGAACAGATGATCAACTGGGCAATATTTTCTTCTTTCAGCAATCCTTAATGTCCTTCGAGGAGGTAGCCCTGTGCTTCACAGGGGAGGAATGGGCTCTGCTAGATCCAGGCCAAAGAAAACTCTTCTGGGAAGTGATGGAGGAAAATTATGAGACCGTGACCTCTCTGGGTAAGGCTCTTTTCCTTTTATCATTAACATCCTGTTTCTCACAACAGCCAACCATGTTGCACTTGAGAGCCAAACCAACAGGAAATAGAGGCTGAGGCCTTCACTTGATGCTACCTCCCAGCACAGGTACTCAGGGTTTACCACCTCTGAATATGGCAGTTCTCTTCAGTCACCATGGTTTATTAGTCATTTATTTATTTGTCTGACCTGCTTTTTCTCCTCATTAGCCCTGTAGCTTGCTGTGCTCATGTATTTCCTGATTATTTCTGCCAGCCACAGACAGACAACTGTCACTTCCATTGCAAATGGCAGAGGGAGTTATATTGTTGATACCCTGTGTTCCTCTCCAATGGGGTTCCAAAAGTAGTTTCCATCATTCTATTATCCTGTACTTTATCCTACCCCTTTGAGGTAGGTCCAGTTGAGTGTTTGTGACTGCCCCAAGGCCACTGAGGAAGCTTCCATGGAAGAGTTCTGGGTATTTGGAGCTGTGTCTCTTTGATCCTAGTCAGACAGTCTGACTCCTACACCACACTGGCTCTGATAGCTCAGGGACATTCCCCTTGTTTTGTACAGAAGACATCTGTCAACCTCCTTGTCTGTGGTGACTCATGGCTCCTCTCAAGTAAACCTTTGTTTCCGTTACAAACACCACAGGGATACTGAGGAGGTAATCTGGGCCAGGACAATGCGATTCCCTTTGTTTTTTGTACCACTACTCCCATAATCATCCTAAAAATGGTGGCCGATTCTCAAGTGCGAACCTTGTTTTCTGATGAGGTATAAGAACATGAGAAGCCATACTGAATCAGACCCATGGCCCATCCAGTCCGACACTCTTGTGTCACACAGTGGCCAAAACCCAGGTGCCATCAGGAGGTCCGCCAGCGGGCCCAAAACTCCAGAACTCCAGAAGCCCTCCAACTGTTGTCCCCCCCCCAAGCACCAAGAATACAGAGCACCACTGCCCCAATCAGAGTGTTCCTTCTAGACCTTGTGGCGAAGAGCCACTGATGGACCTCTGCTCTATATGCTTATGCCTCCCACAAGAACACAGACAGGCAGATCCATCTAGTAATATAGACTAGACGGCAACCCAGTCACTCCACTTGTCAACCCCATAGCTCACTTCAATGGCAGTATTGTTTTTATGAAGCTCCTTGTAGCTGCATGGAAGGATGGGCTGACTGGGAAGAAGAAGAAGAGAGAAGAGGAGATTGGATTTATACCCCGCCCTTCACTACCCAAAGGTGTGCGGCTTACAGACTCCTTTCCCTTCCCCTCCTCACAACAGACACCCTGTGAGGTAGGTGGGGCTGAGAGAGCTCTGACAGAAACGGCCCTTTTTTCAAGAACAGCTCTTATCAGAACTACTTGGCTAAATGACAAATGATGTAATCCTTTTAATACCACTCTCAGCCTAACCTGCCTCACAGGGTTGTTGTGAGGATAAAATGGAGGAGAGGAGAACAATGTAAGCTGCCTTAGGTTCCTATTGGGAAGAAAGGTGGCAGATAAATAAAGTAGTTTGGTGTAGTGGTTAAGTTGTCCCACCTGGAGGCTGGCATCCCGGGGGGGGGGGTGTAGGTCCTTCCTTTGACCTTCTTGAATTTTAGGACACACTTCCATTTGCCAAAGAGGAAAGAACGAAGCTCCCACACCCGAGAATCTTACAGTGCCTGAAAGAGAAAGTGCTAAATACTTTCATGCCATAAAGAGAAATCTGTTTTTGAGGAGGACTCTGATTAGGAGAGACTGGCAATGTCCAGTTAGGTTCCTGTAAGCAAACTTCTTCATCCTTTCTGTGCTGACATGGAGTGGCTCTCCCATGTTCCTTTGCTTGAGTGACTGAGGCTGAGGAGAGTAGAGGAGAAATGGTCTTGGTGATTAGGCAAGAGTAGAGGAGGGACATTTACTCAGTGGCAGAGCTCCTGTTTTGCCTGTCGAAATTCCATGGTAAATCAATAGCAACTGCAAAGGGTTTTCAAGGCAGGAGGATTTTTTATTACAGGACTGGGAGAGGCCCCTTCCTGAGGCCCTCTGGAGGCACCACCCCTTGGAGTAGAATCCTCTGAGTTTGATGGAAACTTCCAGGCATATCCTGACGGAGAGGAAAATCGGAGTCACCTGTGAGCATTTTGCTGTCTCTCAACGCTGAGAAGGAAGGAAGGCGGTATGTGGGGGAAAAGAAGCCAGGCAAGAGATGCTGCAGACAGGTTCTGGGGATTGAATTTTGAGGTAGAACTGCTTCTCCTTGTAATGGTCTGCTGTGTCTAGGCCAGTTCAGAGGAGGTCAAAGTAATAACCAAGCCAGACACGAACCAGGCCCACATCTAAATTACCTAGGCTTACCAAATGCTGGCGGGGGATCTGCAGCTCTTTACAGGATCCCTGCCGTGGGGGACGGCAATACGCAGTGCACCCGCCGTCGCCAGGATGTGACGCTGTGCGTCGCTCTGGCAACGGGGCTGTTTGGAGTCCACTCCTCTACTTGCACCTGCTGGATGACCTTGGGCAAACCTTAATTCTGAAAAGATAGAGCCACAGGAACTCTGTAAAGTGCGCTCAGTGTTTCTTTAACGATGGCAATAATGTTATAAATATGAAATTTACAAAAGTGATACTAATACATTCAAATTATATTTGTGGGGTATTTCTGATGTACTAGTCTGCACAGATGCAGTTTTCCATAAGGTGTTCTCCACAGTTTATACTCTTGTAATACTCTGTTGAGTACCGCGCTAGAAGGAACCATTCTTAAAGGTCATTGTAGATGTTCTCAGGCAGCCCCTGAGTGGTGTCAGCCATCACCAGCTCCTTTCTAGGGAGTCCTTGGTTTAAGGGAGTTTTCCCACTAAGAAAAGGCTCCATTCCCCCCTTCTTTCCATCCCACTATGACTGGCCCAAAGTCCTCCAGGGAGCTTCTATGGCAGAATGGTGATTTGAACCTGGTTCTCCCAGATTCTAACTTAACATGCAAACCACTACACCACACTGGCTTTTGCAGTGTGACTGCAGAGGAACAGCAGCAAGCAGTTTAGCTTGGGTAAGTCAAGCAAGCTGCATAGTAGCAGGTTGCCTGTTTTTTGCTGGCGGGCATGGCTGTGAATAGTATTTCCCTCAAAGGCCAAAAAAGCCCTGCAAAGAACCCTTCCCCTCACTCTGCCTTTTACTAACCAAAGCTTAAACTGTTAATACTGTGTGGTTGCCTAGCAACAACCACTGATTCTTAAAGGTACAGGTGCTGCTTCTATAATTTGGCCCCAAAGGTTTGTGTGTGTGAGAGATAGACAGAGACACACACAGAGAGAGAGAGACATAAACCTTGGGCGTTTTTCAGATTTGTAGAAAGATCTCTCTTGTCTGCCCATAGCTCCAACCATCACAGTTAAGCATTTCCATTTTTTCTTTTCTGTAAACAAAACTATTTAATAAAATCCAGTTCTTTTATGAAATATTTTCCCAATGTCTCTCCTTGTGCTTCCTAAATTAACACCAGAAGACACTGTAACCTTTAGCACTATAATCTGAGAAGTGTAACCTTGATGTTTAGTGTCTGTTCTTCCTCTCCAACAGAAGCAAGCAACTTGTGGGCAACAGAGGGAAGGAATTTCCTCCCTCCTGCTCTGGCTTCCACTTTCTCCTTTTCCAAGACATCCTAGCTTGTGCTTCTATATATAGCTGAGATTTCCCCCCCATGCCCACAGCTCTCATTCCAGAAAATACCATTCAGTACCAACTGTACCTATTAGTTCCTTTTTGTTCTTATTTAATATCTGTCTCTGTTCTCCAGGTGCAGATTTGAGGGAAATGGTGGGTGAGAAGGAACCAGGAAGACTGATTCTGGAAAAATATGAAGATTTGTATGTGGAAGCAAAATCTGGGGATCAAGTGGTACTAAAGAGGCAGCAGAGAATTAAGAGGGAAGCGAAACAGAAGCAGAGGAAGGAACTGATTGCCCATCAGAGCAGGAAGATGCCTGAGATCCCAACCCAAAATAAAGTACAGATGAGAAAGAGAAGGCATAATCATCCTGTCAATGCAAAACTATTTGGCTGCAAATCCAGTGGTAAAAAATACAAGAGTATTAAAACATATTGGAAAATGTATAAATACTTGGAGTGTGGAAAGAACTCCTGTTGGAACAATGCACTAACTAGACATCAAAGGATGCACGCAGGGGAAAAGCCATATAAATGCCTGGACTGTGGGAAGAGGTTCTATTGGAATAGTGAGCTAACTGTACATCAAAGAGTTCACACAGGCGAGAAGCCATATAAATGCTTGGAGTGTAGAAAGAGCTTCTCTCAGAATGGCACTTTAACTGCACATCGAAAGGTTCACACAGGGGAGAAGCTACATAAATGTTTGGAATGTGGGAAGAGCTTTTCTCGAAATACCTACCTAACTGCACATCAAAAAGTTCATGCAGGGGAGAAACCATATAAATGCCTGGAGTGTGGGAAGAGTTTCTATCGAAATAGCCAGCTGACTGTACATCGGAGAGTTCACACAGGGGAGAAGCCATATAAATGCTTGGAGTGTGGGAAGAGCTTCTCTCAGAATGGCCACCTAATTGAACATCAAAAGATTCACACAGGTGAGAAGCCATATAAGTGCTTGGAGTGTGGAAAGAGCTTCTCTCAGAACAGTAACCTAACTAAACATCAAAAGGTTCACACAGGGGAGAAGCCATATAAATGTTTGGAATGTGGGAAGAGCTTCTCTCGCAATGGCACTCTAAGTAGGCATCAAAAAGTTCACATCGGGGAGAAAGTATATAAATGCTTAGAGTGTGGAAAGAGCTTCTCTCAGAGGAGCCACCTAGCTGCACATCAAAAGGTTCACACAGGGGAGAAGCCATATAAATGCTTGGAATGTGGGAAGAGCTTCTCTCGTAATGGCACTCTAAGTAGACATCAAAAGGTTCACATAGATAAGCCATATACATGCTTGGAGGGTGGAAAGAGCTTCTCTGATCAGAGCCAAATAACTGCACATCAGAGGGTTGACTCAGAGGAGAAGCCATATAAATGTCTGGAGTGTGGGAAGAGGTTCTATCAGAATAGTCATCTAACTGCACATCAGAGGGTTCACACAGGGGAGAAACCATATAAATGTTTGGAGTGTGGAAAGAGCTTCTCTCAGAATGGCCACCTAACTGCACATCAAAAGGTTCACACAGGTGAGAAGCCATATAAATGTTTGGAGTGTGGAAAGAGCTTCTCTCAGAATGGCCATCTAACTTCACATCAAAAGGTTCACACACGGGAGAGGTCGTATACATGGCTGGAGTGTGGGCAGAAGCCTTACCTTATATCACAAGAGTCACACAGGGGAATAGCCGTCAAATCTCAAGATGTGGGAAACCAGTTAAAGTGGCTGACCTTTCCAGATTGTGGTCATGATATGTTTTATGGTACCTGGCCTTGATGAGACTAATCTCTATGCCCATTTCCCTTCTCTCATTCCTTTCCTCAGTCTCAAACAAATGCTTGTAGCACTACCTGGTGACCTAAAATACATCTTTTTCTCTATACTCTATATAGCAGTGACAATTATTATTGCTTACAAAGGCAGCAGTGACAATGATTAATGCTTACAAAGTGAAGATTGCTATAATTGTCCAGTGGGAAAAAACTTGACTTTATCAGAAAAGGTGTCATATTGAAGATTAAATTTCTGTCCTCCCCTTTGGAGACCAATTGCAAATTTAAGATGTTGTCTTCTGTATCCATTAGGGCTACAATATCCTTTTTTTTGGAAAAAGTTATTAAGGCCTTAAGGAACATAAAGGTAATTTGGTTTTTTAAAATATATATATTTATTTATAGGATTTTAATGAAATAAACAGTACAATTTGGTCATAGTAAATTTTTTCGAGTCTATTCATCAAGCTTATTTTCTATCCATTTGTAAACTCTTATCCATCATTTTAAGTTAATTTCTTCATCTTTTCCTAATAAAACAACATTTAATCTGTCCATTTCCGCTAATTTCAACAATCTTTGAACTATCGCTTCTCTTGAAGGAGTTTTCTCCATTTTCCAACATTTAGCTAGTAGTATTCTAGCTGACGTTAAAATATAAGTCACCATATACAAATCATTTTGTTTATAACCATCTGGGATATAAAGGTAAATGTGATTGCTTAACAAGAATGTTTTAACTGAGGTTCAAAGTGATTCTTACACCTTTTCCAGAAAGCTGCGGCTACTGTGGCATCATAATTTTTCTTTTCTATGAACTGTCGTCAGATCAATATTCCAAGGTTCAGCAAACTTACTCAAAGAAATAATGAATACCACTTTTGATTCCCCCCCCCTTTTGAGTTATCTGCTTCATAACTTTTTGCCAGTTTTACTTTCCAGGTGTTTGATCATTTTGACTCTTTTGTGTAAAAACTGAATAGGTGTATCCTGCCTGGACAGCAGGTACTTGCATATTTGTTGGTTGAGTGTTGCTTGTTGTATGTGATTTGAGAGCATGAATAAATCAAATGCATTCAGCATTTCCCCCCTCAAAATCATAGCGAGATCATCCATGCTTGTCAGCCCAGTTAATGTGATGCAAGCTTCTCTCCCATGGCTGAGCTATTGCAGTTGAAGAGGCCCAGGGATGATAATCCTTGGTCAGATTTGAGGACACCTAAATATCTGCTACTTGTTCCATTTCATCCCATGGCTTAGAAGGCTTAGCTTTGAGCAAAGTTGTGGAAGAAATCATCTGGAAATGTTGGTCCTCCCTCTCAACTGGGAAAACAGAAGTGAAAATCCAGCTTGTCCTGAGGAAACTGGACCCATAAATCAACCTGGCATGTGAAACGGTTGGGATGGGACCACAGTCTGAAGATGAATAATAGCTCCTTGATGGTTTCCAACGAAGTTAACTCAGTTCATAGCAGCTGGGAAAAGGCTCCAGAGATCTAGAAGTATCAACTGAAATGACTAAAATTTGCTAGAAGACTACTGAAGACCATGTGTTGTCCTGCTAATGGATTCATGAATGACCTGCTTTGTGTTTTTCTCATTTGTATTTTATAATGTTATAACCTGTTCTCAGGTAAAGTTTCCTGTCTTGGGAGGGGTGGGGCATTTTAGATGTAAGCCTACTGTATGTATGTTAATCTATGTAATCTTAAATGGCATCAAAACTAAAAACGCTAATATTCTGGATTTTGTACATCTCTGCATCTTTACCCAACCTCTGATTCAGCTGATTATATTTAAGAACATAAGAAAGGTGTGCTGTCTCAGACCAATGGCCCATCCAGTCCAACCATCTGTTTGAAAATTGTACCTTTAATAATGCTTTCCATCAATTTATTTGGGAAAGGCATTTAATTAACTGGCCTGTAATTTCCTGGGTCCAACCCATATCCCTTTTTTAAAAAATGGGTGTTCTATTGGCCGGTCTCCAGTCATTTGGTTTAGAGGCTGATCTTAGGGACGTCTTACATCTCTTAGTTAGAAGATCAGGGGTTTCACTTTTGAGGTCTTTAAGAACCTCATCTCAGAATGCCATCTAGTCCCAGTGATTTGTTAGTTTGCAATTTGTCTGGAAGTTGACCAGATCCTCATTCTTGTGAACACTTCTGTTCGGAAACCTGTATCTGTCCTATATCTTCAGCAGTGAAGACAGAGGAGGAGAATTCAGTTAGCATGTCAGCAAGGACCTTGGTCCTCCTTTGATGATGGAAAGTGTCGTCAAGTCACAGCTGATTCATGGCAACCCTGTAGGGTTTTCAAGGCAAGAGACATGCCATTGTCTGCCTCTGCGTCACAACCCTAGTATTCCTTGGAGGTTTCCAATACAAATATTAGGCATAGCTGACCCTGCTTAGCTTTTGAGATCTTTCAAGATCTGAGTAGCCTGGGCTATTCAGGTCAGGATACTTTAGTACTCCTTTGGTTCCATGTTCACCTAATGGTCCAGCTGTTTCCTTAGCCAGTTTCTCCTCCAGATGTTTTATAATAATTCCTTAATGTTTGCCTTTTTAATTAAAAGAAGTACATAACATTATAAGAAACAGCCAAATTCCGAAGTGTGTTGCTTATCAGTACATATATAACAAGAATAAGTTGGCTAATAAATTCAAATATTAAAAAGGAGACAAGCAATGTGTCTGTTAGATTTATAGTATATATAAGGTGACTAAAATTACTAGTCTTCATGGCGACTATTAAGCCCAAAGATTTGAGCAAGTGGAAGAGAATAATCAGAGGAAGAGCAATTTAAGGTAAATTTGTTTATGAGGTTGGATGTTTGTTGACAGTACATGATCGAAGAATGGGATCCAAAATAAGAGCATTTGGGGCTGATTTCAGCTTGCCTCAAGTGGTCCGTAATTTTCTCCATTATGAAAAGGTCCCAGACTTTGGTGTACCATTGATCAGTTGTGGGAGCTTTTGATGCATTCAGCGATACGTTCTCCAGACTCTGTTGCTTGTATCCGCTTGCATTTCTTTTCTGCAAGTTTGTGTTCATTTTTGTTTTCCTTGTATGAGAAAGCCTTCCAGTTTCTGAAGAAAACGTTTTCCTCTCTGATAGCATTTTTCAGCCTGATGGCTAGCCATCCTGGTGACTTCATGGACTTTGTACTACTTTTCTCTAGCTGTGGTATACATTCTAATGGATCCTCTAGTGTTGAGATTTTGAGTAACCAGCAAGCTGTTTTGAGAGGTTTAACCCTCTCGACTGTTCCTTTCAACTTTTTTTTACTGCATTCCTGATATTAAAGGAGTTATCTCTTTTGAAATTTGAAGTGACAGAGTTCCCTGGCTATTTTCCACATACATAGAAGTTAAATTTGTTGCCATTGTGGTCACTGGTGCCAGTCAGTTCATCCACATCTTGCACTAGGTCCTGGGCAGCACCACTGAGAATGAAGTCCAGGCTTGCCTCCCCTCAGGTCAGTTCTGGAAGCAGCTGTTTTACAGCACAGTCCTTTAGGGTATCTAGAAAGTTTACCATTTAAGATGAATGGAATGCATATATTTCCAGTCAAGATGAGGGTAGTTAGAGTTGCCCATTATTACATTGCTCTCTGCTTTGAGTGCCTCCAGAATTTCATTTATGTCAAGATCATTCTGAATGTTTGGTTCAGGGGTCTGATAGCATGTCCCTAGTATTGAATTATTTTTGCGGCCAAGTATTGTCACCAATAGCACATTTGTGTAGGAGTCCACCATTTTAAAGCTTTCTAGCTTGTTTATTCCTTTATTTTAGAGGTTTACGAAACAGAGGTTTACAAAATTATGCATGGGGTAGAGAAGATAGAGAAAGAAGTACTTTTCTCCCATTCTCACAAGAACTCTTGGCCACTCAATGAAATTAATGAGCATTAGACTAACAACAGATAGAAGGAAGTACTTCTTTACCCAAAGAGGAATTAACACATGGAATTCACTGCCACAAGAAGTGGTGGTGGCTACAAGCACTGACAGCTTCAAAAGGGGATCGGATAAACATATGGAGCAGAGTCCCAGCACTGGCTATTAGCCACAACATATATATAGATAGAACACTCTGTCTGCGGCAGTGATGCTCTGTCTTCTTGGTGCTTGGAGGGAAACACTGGGAGGGGCTTCTGGAGTTCTGGCCCTGCTGGTGGACCTTCTGATGGCACCTGGGTTTTGGCCACTGTGCGACATAGAATGTTGGACTGGTTGGTCCACTGGCCTAATCCAACATGGTTTCTCTTATGTGCTTCTGCAGGTAATAGGGTAGCATTATACCAAATACTTCACAAATTTACTTGTATAAATTAATAGGGAAGGGTAGCATTATACCAAATACTTCACAAAGTTACTTGTATAAATTAATAGGGACTGTGGTCAATAACTTCTGTGTATAAGTTGGATCCCATTATGTAATTTTGCATCCTTTAATGTGTTATGTTATCACTTATGCTTTCCTTCAGTTGTGTTTTTGAGACTTCTGGTTGCTTCTACAATTTCATTGTTCTTGAATGTCTTGTTGATAGTATTGACTCACTCTGTGTAATCTGCCTTGAGTTCTGATGATAAAGGTGGACTACAAATAAAATAAATAAATATTACATTTTATAAGGAAGATTAACTGGGGGGATAAAGGAAAGACAAGAGAATCCCATCATAAATCTTCCAGGAACTGGAACTATTAGGTTGTTACACATAAAGGATGATGAGAGTGGTGAGAGGTTCCAGCATCTTTCTCAGAGAAACCAAAGTGTAATTAAATAGGAGAAACAGCATTAAACCTGTCTTAGTAAAACTAGCTTTTGCTGAGAATCTTCCGAGAAGTTTCAACATACTATCTGTAGTGAATGTTTTATGGAAACACACACACACACAGCTAAAGTTCTCACAAATGACCAGCTGAGGGTCAGTGATTTCCAAGATGGCGACAGCATAAAGTTTGAGCTCTGCTCCCTTTCCTTGAATAAAAGCAAT